TGACGTCGAAAATTCTCTCGGCGTTTGGAGTTTGGGGGGGAAGGGAGACGGCAGAGTAGAACGGCATTGTAGAACTTGAAAGTGCCAAGTGCTCTGCTCGTAAGACGGTCGAAGGATGATGAAGGATCTTCGGGCTTCGTTTCCAGGGCCTACGATCCGTTCCGCAAGTTGCTAGAGGCGTCAGGGTATCTACAGCATGTGCTCTATATGCGTATGAACATATCATGGACTTGCACTGCATCTGCATCCACAAAGTGGATTGAAGCAGGGCAGGGCAGGGAACGGGAACGGGAGGTGTGGATGAAGAATGCTTGGGACTTTCCTATTGCTCTCAGTTCCCCGGATTTTCATGGTCGAGACAATTGACTTTATCCCCTTGTTCTGATGTTCTTTTGCTGAGATTCGAGCTTGAATGTCGATGAACCAATGTGCTACGTGAACTGAACCCCAGGTGATTGATTGACTATGCGCCTTCCTTAACGGTTATTAGTGCACTGGGGGGGACTCTTTGGGGCTCCAGCTTTTATTCTTCCCCCAATCTCTGAGATCGAGGACAACCGGGGGCCAATTAGCTTTGGGTTCGGCTCATCTCCAAGAGCTTAACTTACTTGGATGTTGTTAACCCCCAAAAGGGAATTACTCGCGAGCTTGTCTTTCGATTTAATTTCTCTCATATCCTGAAAATTTCCACTTCCAAGTTTGAAGTTGCAGCTTTGACATCTTCCTGCCAAACTCTTCACATCTTCTTTCTTACCAATTCTTGTGTAACCTCTGTTGCTGGACTATATTATCGGTAGCCTGTAGTTAACCCGGCATTTGCGCCCGCATTCGCGCACCAATCAAATAATCGAGAGCCCTGTCAGAGCCTGCACCGGAAGCGCGGATTAGACTCAGTGGAATGTATGCAATGCCAGGCTCCAGCATAAGTCAAGCTACCATGGGCGATTCAATCACTCCAAGCACCGCATGCCAGGGTCTTGGCCACGAGTTGGATGGATACAATGTCTGAGCCCTCCATTGTGATCCTCCCCCAACTCTGTATTATACCGTACCTTACTTGCTGACCTATTGTTCCTACGTTCCTTCACAGCTCCTACGCTGTAACTCACTTTCCAGAAAGCCAATCTCGCCAATCGCTGCCTCCCCTCATGACGTCCACCACCGGAATGTCTTGCTTGTGGCGCCGAGGGTTCAACGGCCTTCCGGGCCGATTTCCCCACACTCGTCCCATCCACATACACCCTTGTTATGTACCTCCTCTGCTTTATGTATTCTGCACTCTCCCCGGTCCAAGGGCTCCATGAACTGACCCTTCAGTTCGTCTTGACACCATCTTCAACCAGAGACTCGCACTGCAGCGTGTGCTTTATCGTCCCTTGTTCCCGGATACCACGTGGCTCCCTCTTACACAACCCTCTACGTCGCGATCGAAGCTTGAGTTTTGAACCATCTTTGTGATGTGACAGCCCTTCCACCTCGTTCTCAGCGGTATAGCAGTGTCTATATGACCACTTTATCTGTAACCGCCTGAATCTCAGGTCGGCAAATGCGGTCTGTGAGCCTAGCTGAATTACGGAGAGCTGAGCCGGACATTTTATTATTCAATCGTAATAATATAGCCAAAGCTTACCGCGTAGGAGAGAGATCCCGACTTAAAAGTTGTCACACCGCATTATGGCCAGTCGTGTAATACGAATCCGCAAGTCTACACCTAATCCATCAATTAATTCATGCTTCTTGTTTTGGCTAGTATAATTTTGACGACCAACTCCGATCCCCATCTAGTAACTGAAAATTCTTCATCCAAGTCGTGACTATTAAAAACAAATGCAGCAATATTTACAGTATCGTAGCGGGAATTTTCAGCCCCTTTAATCTAAGCCCGGAAGCCATCCACCACGGGATAATGAAGCTCCTAACCCATCAAGCGCTGCTATCTGGTCATTTGTTTCAGTTTGCATATTGCCGTTACCTTCTGTGCTGCTGTTAGGGGTATCCTGATTGTTGCTGTCACCAAACATGAACACAGAGTTGTCCTGTCCATTGTTGGCCATCTGCCAGGCCTCAAAACTCTGGTGCCACCTTGCGCTGTCGTTCAAGAACCATTCTTGCCCATCCATCCTCATAGACCGGTTGGATGTTGGAGGATTGCTGACGGGCGGGACACTTGTGCCGGCGTTTGCCATGCTGTTGCGGTTGATGGGTGCAAATGCCTGCTGATAAGATGGCATCGATGATGTAACAGGGACAGAACCCCATCCACCCATAGGCTCGGGTCCAAATCCTGCGTTGGATCTGTTCAAAGGAATCCCCTGTTGCTGAGAAAGGATGGTGTTCGACAGCGGGGCGCTTGTCAGCATGGTGTCTGTTACAGATCTTTGAGGCTGGTGCTGCGGCTGTTGCTGTTGCTGTTGCTGTTGAAGCTGTTGCATCGGTCGAGCCAATTGTGCTCGATTGTACGGGGGAAAGGGGCTGTATTCACCCATGACCTTCATCCCCAGACCACCATCAGAAAGGGGCGAAGCTCCTGCCTGCGAATGAGGTGACGGTACATCAGATGTGCTGTATGTTCCGTATTTTTCGTCGGCCCGATGAAGCACGAATGCTGCATCCTCAGGGAGTTCGCAATTCCACTTCCGGGCGAGAACGCTCAGGATACTCAAGGTTCTTCTCGCGCAAAGCCAATCTTCCGCAATTTCTTCGAGGTGCTTTACCCCATGAGTGATATCCCGACGAGCAGTTTTCTCGGGAAGATTTAGTAAATGGATTGTGCATGCGCTGTGCACCATATACACTGCGATGTTACAAATCTGGCGCAAGTTCCAAAGCTTCTTGTACAATCGAAGCAGTTTTGAGATTGCTCCAGCATTTGCTGTACAAATACGGCGAGGTGAGACATGTGGCGGAAGAGGCGAAGAAGTAGGTGAGTACTTTAGGAAAGGTCGGAAGAGATGTATGTATTGGAGATGAAAGAACATGCTATTCAGGGTCAGTCATTTGTGGCTTAGCTGTCCGTTACTGCGTCACTTACTGCATGAGAAGCACATTGGGTAGCTGGCCATCTTTAGGCTCAAACTCCCTTGGAAGTTCTTTTCGCCACTCTTCTAGACGGCGATGCAGCTCACTTAACTTCTTGAGTTCTACCGTCTTCCCACTGGACCTGCCAATGTGACTTGGATGGTAGAAGAAGGCGAGCAAATCACTACTGATCTCGGAAAGCTTTGACATCTGCAGAGCAATAGCTCGTGTTCGTGCTGGTTGTTTAAATGACTGGTCAAATCCACTGTCCGTATAAGGCGACCATGATTCCGCATCCTCGTCTGGGAATACATCGAATTTGGAAACGTTGAAGGAACTCTTGGGGATCTGAGGCAGCCTGCCGAGGTAATTGGACCAGCATTTGTCGAACAGATAGCAGCCCCAGAATGTAATTCGCCTGGCATCAATCTCATAATCACTCATTCGTTCTTTGTCGAGCTGGCCAACATCTAGGTTCAGGCCAATATCTTCAGCCATGCGGAAACTCATTCCGCTATAAACCCACCCCTTGGCTTCGCGAGCACAACCGGCTTCTCTCACCGACATGAGTGCCAATGCTTGAACGGTAACTAATCGGGGTTTTTCGTATTCGTCGTTTTCAACAATCAAGCGTTTTGCCTCAGCAAAAAAGTGATCGCCTTTCGTCCGGCTATCGCCAGGGGTACCATAGGCGCCGGCTACGCTTGTAAAATGGCAACCCAAAGCGAGCATAGCGTTGACCAAGAGTGATGAACAGTATGCAGTACCTCGTCCGATCCCGGCCTTGCCTCTCAAAAAGTCTTGGAAGAAGAGTGTTTTTGAGAGCGTGGTAAAGTAAGGGTAGTGCCAGTTGAAGTACATGTTAATTAGGTGAGTGATGAGCTGAGTGTCCTGGGTGACGCGAGTCCAAGAAGTAATAGGATCCTGTCCAGCTGTGTAATCTTCAAAATTTGGCTCCATTTCTCCTTCGTGAGTCGGATCACTCAGATAGATAAGATGAGAGGTACCTCCGATGAAGCGAACGTTACCGTTCTCGAGTCTGAGCTCACCCATTTTGCGAGCCAGATCCCTTTCACCCTGCTCGGGTTGGTCGGTAGTATAATTATCATTGGATTGATCATAATCATCAGAATCATCATTAGCCAACGGAATTGTCGGTTGTGGCGGTTGTTGCTGTAGTGGCTGCTGCTGTTGCAGCTTGATAATATCTTCGGCAACAGCGTCAAGGCTATTGCAGGTACGGATTTTCTGAACAATGCCCAACACGTCGTCTTCTTCAGCATTCAATATAGCTTCGATTAGAATCTGTAAGGTCGAATTGCGTGCCTTCATGCTGTCGACCTTTTCGCGATAAACACCCTTCCGGCGATGGTCTGAGTTAGGATCATAAACACACTCAGTTCCATATACGCTGGAGCATGCAGCGCAACTGGGAAGGGCACCATCGCACTTGGACTTGCGTTTACGGCACGCTATACACGCCGTACTCACGCATCGCCTCTTCTGACTGGCAGAGTCGGCGCCTCTGCGTGACTTCTTGCGAGTTGACCCTTGGGCAGTTGTCGATGGACCCGCCTGCACCGCGGTCTTGGGTTCCGGCTCTTCCATGGTGTAACTGAGCAAGCGAAATCTGGTGATGAAAATTCAAATCAAACAAGTGGCAGAGGTCAGGATGCAAGGAGATCCAGATAGTAAACAGTCTTCGTGAGATGATATGACACGATGCTTTGAATGAATGTGCTGGTTCGTAGGCCCACAACCTAGACTGTGGGGGACGAAATTGTGGTTAGAGGTTGAACGGGGATCAGCACTTTGGCTCAAACTAAGCGAATATGAGGTCTTTGTGGTTGGTTAATAGATACGGGTGCGGGTGATAGTTTGGATGTGATAGATTGGAAAAGAATTGGACAGGAGTTGGAGACTGAGCATATAGTCCTCCTAACAACTATTCCATCCTGACTTTGCGGGTTTTGTAATCAACCATGTCTGCTAGGGACAAGGTGAGGGCTTCTGCCGAGTTGACCAACTCCACGGGACCCGTTACCCAGGGTCAACGCCGAAGACAGCCCGGGGGTGCCTGACCAAAGTGAGGTGATCTGAGATGAGGTGATGATGCGAGGCGATACAATGCGATGCAATGAAACCTGAGGAGGAAAAAAAAGACCGTGGATGAAGAGTGAAGAGGAATGGGGATGTGTGAGGTGGGTTTCTTGCAGCTGAGGCCTAGACTCTGAACGCGGCTGATTAAGGTAAATCTTCAGGCGATTCCCGACTCGACCTGACCTGACACCGAATGGATGTTCCTTCTGGTACTTTACTAATGTAGGAAAAGACCCTGAGGTAGGTGCACGCGTGGTAAGGTCAAGCAGGAGAAGGAACAGTGAAACTGACGTTAACGTCCGTCACCCAAAGACTGGCCACCCCCACAGACCGGCCACCTC